TGTATTTTTATAACTATCCAAGTCTAGTCTAATTCGGTCTGATCTGATCTGAGATAAATTACAGTCCAAGTAAAAACATCCTTATAGAACAACAAATTTAAATTATTAATTTGATGGAAAAAATATAATAAAATTTAAATCACACAATATTATAAATAAAGTTTCAAATCCAAACAACATAATAACAGAATATTAGTTTGTATTTTAGTTTGTATGTGTGAAATAATGTGTGAAATGTCAAAATATTAAATGAGGGGCTAATGCATAAATATATGGTAATTAGATACTTAAATAGAAGAATGGTAAAAAGTTAGTAAAAAGAATAAAAAAGAATATTCCCTTTTTGGTGATGAAAATGCCATTGATGTGATGTTTACACCATTTTAGTGTAAGAAATGGTATAAACTGTTGGAGATGGCCTTAGATGCACACTCTAGTCAATCTTCTTTTCAGATAGAACTTGAATTCACAACAGTTTTTTTTCTAAAAAATTACGTGTACTTCACCAATCTAATTCCTTACAAAAAAACCTTATCTAATTAGAAAATTTCACAAAAAAAAAAAAAACTATTATAATCAGAAGAAATATCAGTTTGTGTGATAGAATGAGTTTTTTACTTATCTCTTTACACGATTTTTTTTGCAATAGTGATTTTTATTCAATTTGGGTTTGTAAGATCCTAGCTAAGTCCAATTTATAAGCCTATTACAAATGTGGTCGCACTCGTGTGAGTTTGGTTTCGTTTTAGGGTGTTTGACCCGTCGCACTCGTGTGATTTTGAAATAATCAAATACTTCGTATGTGAATTACGTTCCCTACAAACCTTTATTTAGGATATAGACGTTGAGTTTGGATTGTCAAATCACATAATTTGCAACTTTTAATAATTGAGATATCAAAGCAGGTCAATAATCAGGGTCTGTTTGCAACAACTTATACTTTTTAAAAAGTGCTTTTTTAATGAAATGAGGAGAAGTGATTAAATAAAAGTTGATACTGTTTGAGAAAAAAGTGATTTTGAAAAGTAAAAGTGGGTAGTGTTTGGTAAAATAAGTGTTTTTTGTGTAATAGAAAAAGTAAAAGCACTTTTGACGCGGAAGTCGAGAAAAATAAAAGTTGTAGTGTTTGGAAAAATAAGTGCTTTTTTAAAGCCAAAAGCTGAAAAGTGTTTTTTTAAAAGTAGTTGCAAACTAACCCTCAAATCCTCAATGGCACTCAAATTAGGATACGTACGATTCTTGCTACTTCCCAAGTATTAATAGCAGTCTTGGAGGAAAGATGTATATTGAAGATCAAATTAAAAAAAATCACATTTTCTGAAATATTTATTTTGAATATCAAAATTTAGAATTTTAACATGTTCTCTAATCTGTACGGATTATAAATACTTATACATATTTATACATACTCCCTCGTCCCTGAAAATTCTTCTCATGTTAGTTTGGATAGGAGTTAAAGAAAATGAGAATATAGTGAAAATTGGAAAAACATGATTGTGGCTGAGCAAGAAAAAAAGTAAATGAATGTTAGCCACACAATACTTTTCAAAAAAGGGAAATGAGAAATTTTTTTGGGTCATCCCAAAAAGGTAAGGGGAGAAAATTTTCAGGTTATATACTCCGTATGTATATAATGATTTCTTTCTCTCAAAGAGATTATGGCTTTGTTTGCAAGTGCTTGTGCTTAAATAAAAACACTTTTTGGGAAAAAATGATTAATAGTAAAAGTTGGTAGTGTTTGGTAAAATAAGTGCTTTTGTGTAATAGAAAAAGTAAAAAGTAGATTCTACACGAAAACCGATAAAGAAAAAGTTGGTTGTGTTTGGTAAAATAAGTGTTTTTTTCTTACAAAAAAATCACAATCACTTAAATTAAGGGGTTGCAAACAGAGCCTATTTTGCTTTTGTTGTGTCATCAGAGCCATTGACGATGTGTCTGGTTCAAATATTAGTGGGTGTGCCATAGTTATTTATGCGATTGTATATTTCTAAATACACTGTTTTAATATAAACTTTTTACGATAAAAAATAAGTAGAACTTTTTTTCTTTCGGGTAGGTTGCTCCTAGAGTTGAACAAAAAATTGAAAACCTGAAACGATAAACCCGTTGAAACCAAACCGGTCAGAGTCGAACCAAATGAAACCGAAACCGATCGAAACTGATTGAAACTCACGTTACAAGATGAAGAAAACATTTCAACGTTGATCCAGGATTGCCGAATGCTACTCGAGAATTGTCATGGACTCACTCTGCATCATACCTTACGAGAAGGAAATAGATGCGCTGATTTCGTTGCCAACATCGCTCACTCGGCACCACAGGGGCTGACAATCCTGAATACCCCTCCGAGGGAATTGAACGTATACTTTGGGAGGATGGCAATTGTCTAGAATTTGTTAGACCACACTAGCTTTGTCTGTTTGTTTTTGACATTTTACCGTTTGGACTGTAGTGTTCTTTTCTTTTCCAATGTACCCAAAAAATTATGTTTATGATTTGTTTTTTTGTTTAAAACCCGACTTAACCGACTGAAACGTGCTAAAAGCGACCAAAACCGAAACAAAACCGAGATTAGGTGAATCTAAACCGACTGAAATCGACTTAAATAATGTTGTTCGATTCTCGACTTCACCTTTTTCGAAAAACCGATTGACAAAAGCTGAGCTGATGAAAATGGAAACTAACTAAACTCAACTGACGAACACACCTAGTTGCTCCGACACATTAATGATATGATTGTTGCAGGACAAAATGATGAGCGAGTTGCACGCGAATGGGAAGACGGCTGAAGATGTCGAGGAAGTGCTCAAACGGGTTCCAATTCATCCTCGCATTGTCCCCACCATTCAATCCCTTTCTGCTATAGGGTAAACCAAAAATATATCTTAATCCATTTTTCATCATTTCCTCAGTTTTGGTTTTTGAACTGGTACACGAATTGAAGATGATGAGATTGCTAACTGCATTTTAGGTGTGATTTGAGAATAGTCAGTGATGCAAACCTTTTCTTCATTGAGACAATATTGAAACACCATGGGATAAGGGAGTGCTTCTCTGATATAAAAACAAACCCGGGCTATGTGGATGAGGCAGGAAGGGTGAGGATCCTCCCTTACCACGATTTCCACACTTCTTCTCATGGTTGTGATAATCTTTGCCCTCCTAACATGTGCAAGGTACTAATACTTGGTGTTGCAAACATTTTAAAGCATGTTTTATATTTTAAACTCCTTCGTTCTTATTTAGTCGCAACGGAACAATTACTTTAACGTTTAAAACACATGATGTTGAATGTCATATATTTAATGTGAATCTTACATCACTACATTACAGTGACAACACAACTAGATGTATTATAATCACGGTTTTATTATGAATAGGGTAAGATCATTGAAGGAGTTCAAGACTCATTTGCCAATAAAGGTGAAAAAAGAATTGTTTATCTAGGTGATGGGGTTGGTGATTTCTGCCCCAGCCTGAAGCTCAAAGAAGGAGACTTTGTGATGCCTAGGAAATATTTTCCAGTCTGGAAATTGATAAATGAAAACAGGAAGCTCGTGAAAGCGGAGATCCATGAATGGACAGACGGGGAAGAGCTCGAGCTCATCTTGCTACGTCTTATCAACATGATCTACATAGAAGGAGACAACCAATTGTTACCCGTTGAAACACTTGAGTTGCAAGCAATTCCTATCCTGTCGCATGATACCATTTCTAAAGCCATTCCTGTGCCCTTTTAGTGTTGCCATTGAGTAACATGCTAAGAATGTTGTAAACTATATGACAAACGAAGTTTGTTGATTTCAAAAAAGGTTGAATGGCTAATAGTTTGTCCCAAAGTTGAAGATATGTTTTATGTAATATTGTACTCCGTACTTTCCAAGTAATTTCGCCAGTTATTGTTTTCCTCTTAATTACGTTCACTTTTCATTTCTATTTTTATACACTTTTTCTATCCTTTCAAAATTTTATTTTGGACATAGAAATCCTTTCAAAAGTTAAAAAACTTAGATGCTTTTAATGTTAAACTTTTTAGGGGTAAAATAGTTTTGTTTCAAAATTCCGTAATTTATGTGCCTTCTCCAAAATGAAAATTAATTTAGAGTAGAGATGGCATCAAATTTTTGTCACATTTAAATTCTGTTTCATGTGGTTTACTAAAGCTAGTAGTCTGGGTTTTAAGTATGTAAGTTTGAAACTTCGAATTACTAAAACTACAGTAGTTACTAGTATGTGTTATTAACAACAGTAATTATTGTGTACCTTATGCGTAATTGTACACTGAAACCACCTCATAAAAATGTAAAATGGGATAGGTGTAGCGTACTTGTGGGGGAGATGGTTTGGGATCTCACCAAATAAATACTGATTAAAGACTGCATTAGACATGACAATTACTGATTCCATTTCAATAAACCCTAACAAGCTAACAGGATAGATGCTTACAATAAGAATACTTGGCCGAAGGTTTTCCTTGGAAAAATGTCCTCAAATCTCTATTGTACTCTCCACAAATCCAGAAATAGGGGTGGACTCGGGCCGGGCGGCCCGACCCAGAACCGGCCTGGCCCGGTCACTGTTTGAACCGGACCGAACCGGCGGTCCGGCCCAGGGACGGTTCGGGTCGACCCGGCCCGGCCCGGTGGGGTTCGGTTCCAGGCTCGGGCCCTCCATTTGGTGAACCGGCCCGGCTGATCCGGGCCCGGTCCGGGCCGAATTTTTTTTTTTTTTTTTTTTGATTTTTTTTTTAAATTTTTGGGTTGGGCTGGGTATTTTGGGACATTTGAGGTGGTTTAGGGGTGAGGGGGTTGGGTTGGGGGTTAAATAGGAGAAGCCAAAAAAAATTACAAACCGGGTGGCTCGGGCCCAACAAAACAGAACCAAGGCCCGGCCGGGCCCAGGCCCGAACCGGCCCGAGTCCACCCCTATCCAGAAAGGGCAGCTTATGAAATGCTTTTGTTATATTATTAAATTCCCTGCAGGCTTTCAACACAAAATATCAAGAAACACGCATAATGATATAAAACATTCGCAATCTTAATACATAATTAACTCAAACAAATATGGGTTTTCAGCAGATGATGATTTTGGGCTATTTCAGACACTGAGACAAGTCGTGGCATTCTTTACAAATTAAAACTCTACAGAAAATTACATTTCAGTATTCTATTTTCTCATTGATGTTTGCACCGGTTGATAATATAGACGCTATTACAGATTTCTTGGCGACAAGAATGACTATATAATATAGTCTGACCACTGACAAATAAAGGAAGTGTGATCCATGGACTCCCCAGGAACATCTTCATGAACACTTGGCTGTTCTTTCCCACCCACTAGCCTAGCAGGACTTCCAACTGCAGTGGTCCGTGGTGGCACATCAATCAGCACCACCGACCCAGCACCAATTTTCGCTCCCTCGCCAATCTTCACATTTCCCAATATCGTGGCCCCTGCCCCAATCAAGACCCCATCTCCGATCTTTGGATGTCTATCACCACCAGTTTTCCCGGTCCCACCTAATGTGACTTGGTGCAGCATTGACACATTGTTCCCTATTATTGCCGTCTCTCCGATCACCACTCCGGTTGCGTGGTCTAGAAATATCCCCTTCCCTATCTTAGCTGCAGGGTGTATATCCACCGAGAACACATCCGCGATCCTAGATTGCAGTGACAATGCTATTGGTTTTCTGTTCTGTAGCCATAGCTTATGTGCCAATCTATGAGCCTACATTTGGGGAAAATAGAAAACAGATACAATCACACATCAATAATATGACCAGAGGGTCAAACTTATGGACATGCTCAAGTGAGCAAATATGGCTATATGTCATGCATGTATAAGCAAATTGAGATTAAAAATGATTTGCACATGCTAGTAAAGTGCAGAGTTAAATTTCCTTTAATCTTGTAATTACAGTCAAGTTTCTCTTTACCCACCCAAATTTATTGTGTGTATACCATCATACTTATCCAGACAATCATTCAATTAACTTGAGAGTTCTAACCAATTAATTCATCTATTACACAGAAGAGTCAAGCTGATGAGATGGTTACAATGAGTCAATGACTAAATAATATGCAGAGAAATGAAAACAGTATAGTAAATAATTGAAATGACATCAGCTAGAGAAAATTGTGTATACTGTGTATAACTGTAAATAACAATCTTTATGGCTAAAGTCATGATTACTTTTTAATCAAATATTCAAAATCAAGTGATACCGTTACTTCCTTTCTGCAAATTGATTTTTAGTTCATTTTAGATTGGCTTTGTTTCTGCTATTGATAGGTAATACGTTTTGAAATGGAAAAATTACTAAATGAATATTGTACTTCGATGGAAACATCAACCTAGTTTCCTGTCAAGCTTAACTGTCTAAGTATGCTAAGAACTAGTTCCACTTGTGAAGTCTCCACAACACTGGCACTTTTACTTCGATCCTTTGATTTTAACAATGGGAAAAGTTAATTTTTTTTAGAGTATTAACTATTAAGTGAGAAAAGCATAGCTTAAGAAACAGTGCCATCACAAGCTCTGTAAAGCAAAACAGGCCGGTTTTTACTAAATCAGTAACCGCAAACTTGAAATAAGAGCCAAAGAGCACCAAGGCTAAATCTTTTTAACAAAAACTTTCTTTTCTACTAACCTTTAAATTTATGAGATGCGTTTATAGTTTATATTGGTTCATAGTTTCATACGTAGCCCTGTAGGAGCATAAAATTAGAAAGCAATTCACGTATCCCCACATTGAGAAACTAGGAAAAGGCCTGTGAAAATATAAAGCAATACTAGAAAGGAGGAAATGTTAACCTGGATGGCTAGGAAGCCCTTGTAATTTAAAAGGCAGTGAGCGAAGGAAATGCAAGCAGCGTCGCGGAAACGGGCGGCGCATAAGTCAGCGACGGTGGCAGCACGGAGGGATGGATCGGTAGAGAAGGTGTTGAGGAAGAGGTCGTAGAGGAGCGTGGAGAGAAGGGTGGAGGAGCAGAGCTTGTTTCCGAGGTGGAAGGAGAGGGAACGAAACAAGGAGGAATGAGAAATGATGGTGGAATAGAGGTAGCTGGCGAGCGCCGGCTCCGATTCGGCGTCGCGCTTCGCCTCATCTTTGATCTGAGACCACACCGCCGCCTCGGCGTCAGCTCCTCCGCCGTTGCTGCATATCGCGAGGTGCTGGACCCGCGCGTTGATTTCCTGGACTGGCATCGCGACTTACTGAGTTTTTGGCTTTCCTGATCGGTGACCAATTGTTATAAGACCAGACGAAAATACACAATGTGGGAGGAGGGTTATAAAATACTCCATTCATATTCATATAGTTCTCCTAAAACTTTGTCAAATTTGATAGGAGATTCAAACTCTTAAAACATTGACAAGTTTAACTACCACCAGGATCAAAAAAAGTTGTGTGCTTGAAATTTGTGTAGAAGATAAAGAATTAATTGGAACAACAAATTCTTTATTTAAAAATGAATGTGACAAAGTTAGTGGAATAATCAAAAAGGGAAAGTTGTCAATGTTTGAAGGGACGAAGGAAGTACAAAGATCAAACATTTAAAAGACCAATCAATTCAGACCAGATCAAACCCGGCTAGACTAAATCAGATCGGACCAAATCTACTAGAACAAAATATTTCAGTCTCGTTTAGTGAAGGAATTTTATATCAAACAAAAGAAAAGATTAATGAAAAAACTATTTTTCCATAAAACTTTTCGCACACATTGCTCGTAATTTCTGTGGACACAGATGATTTGTACACTCCCTAGTTACTTGTGTACTTAGACAGCTCATGCTAAATTATAAATGTGCATAAACAATTACACACAAATGTATGTCAAATGTTTACAATTTTTTGTGTACAACTGTACAAGAAGAATTTTTGAATATTAATAGCCCTTTTCATGACTTGTATTATCTTTTGGCCTCGATTACTTCGAATACATTTAAGCACTTTAAAATTAAGAGCCCGTTCGGTAATAGTAAAATTGAATGAATCAGCTGATTCTGCTGAAATTTATAAAGTTCTGCCGATTTATAAAAAAAATTATATTAAAATATATTTTATTAATAAAATAAAGTAAAAATTAGATGATAAATAGCTAAAATGAAGTTCTACAGTAACTTCAGCCAATACAGTCATAAAAGCAACTCCAATCTAACATTTTTTATTATTAGACACTTCAGCGCGCAAAAAGGTTACATGTTTGGTGAAAATTAGTTGATAAGTTTGATAAACTGAAAAACAAGGTTACCAAACAGACTCTAAAAGATGAAAATATGTGAATAATTGCTTTGAACTGCTTTCATTTTTTTAAATAAATCATTTTCAATAAAAAGTTGTTTTTACTTTTGATGTTTCTTCCATAAATATTACGGACTACGAATTACTAATAATAGGTAAAATGAGTGAATAGTGATTATAATTGTCTTAAAATTTAAGTTAGTGACTACACACGTAATCACTATAACATAAACTTTAAACACAATTATATGCACTAATAATAAGCGAGTATTCATTGACAATTTATTTATCACTTTTCCAAGAATAATACGAGTATTAGTTTAATTTTTTCCTCACTATTTTATGTATAAAAGTACTTTTTAGCGAAAAATTTCAATTTCCCCTTTTTCAAAACCACTTTAAAAAAATTAGGGAAACGGGACAAATAAGCTCTTGAAGTCTCGAACTAAACAAAAAAGTACAAATCACACCATATGTAGGAGTTTCTGTCCCGCCGACGTCACTTGGGATGGTTCCCGATGAATTTTTTGAGCATCTTATTTATTAAGTCTAGTTTAACCATACCAAATTTCAAATAAAATTTCAATCAGGAAGACAATCAATTTTTTTTTGAAGATAATTGCGAGTTAAACAAGGAAGTATATTTCAAAAAATCCCACCTTCCCAGTTTTAGGGTTGGTTTGCAACTGCTTTTAAAAAAGCACTTCTCAGCTTTTGGCTTTAAAAAAACACTTATTTTCCCAAACACTACAATTTTTATTTTTCTCGACTTCCGCGTCAAAAGTGCTTTTACTTTTTCTATTACACAAAAAATACTTATTTTACCAAACACTACCCACTTTTACTTTTCAAAATCACCTTTTTCTCAAATAATATCAACTTTTGTTTAATCACTTCTCCCCATTTCATTAAAAAAAATCACTTTTTTAAAAGCAGAAGCTGTCACACCCTTAAGCAGTGTTTGCGGTTGCTTAAAAAAAGCGCTTTTCAGCTTTTGGCTTAAAAAAGCTAAAAAAGTGTTTTCAAGTGACAGCTTTTGCTTAAATTAATCACTTAAAACCTAAAAGCTGGAAGCAGGTGGAAGGGTGCTTTAAACTGCTTTTTACTTTTTCTATTACACAAAAAGTACTTATTTTACCAAACATTACCAACTTTTACTTCTTCAGAATCACTTTTTTCTCAAACACTACCAACTTTTACTATTAATCACTTTTTCCAAATTCACTTTAAAAAATCACTTTTCTAAAGTTGAAGCAAAAGAGTTTCTTAGGATGTTTTTACTTGGACTGTAATTTGCTGGTCTGGTCTGGTCTGGTCTGGTCTGATCTGGTCTGGTCTGGTCTGGTCTGAACTGGTCTGGTCTGGTAAGGTCTGGTTTCTTTGTATTTTTATAACTATACAAGTCTGGTCTGGTCTGAACTGGTCTGGTCTGGTCTGGTCTGGACTGGTCTGGTGTGGAGCAAATTACAGTCAAGTAAAAACATCCTTATTCTGCTGAAGAATCATCCCGGATGCCCGTCTCTAACAAGTTAGGATAAACCAGAGAAAGGGGAAGAGAAAATGGCTGCCACACAGCACCTTGTCTCCTCTCACCCATTTTCTACATATTTCCATCGTTCTTTTCCCAGTATAAAGTACTTCATCTCTCTGTGTGTGTGGGCATGTATAGCTCATATGTATATGCAAATACGCACCTTCCAAACGTATATTGCCTTAATTTTATGGTGTTTCTGCCAGGAATCAGAGCTCGTGTTCCGCGCCAAAGAAAAGAAAATGTGGGAAAATCATTGCATGTTCGATCAATGAAAGAGATCACACTCTGTGGGATGGGGTTTCAAGAAGGGATTTAGCAATCATTGGCCTATCTTCACTTTCTCTAACATTTCCTTGTTTGAGTAAGTCAGCAAGTTCAATAATAATTCCTCATACTTCCCTTTTCATTTTCTCACTTACTCGTTCACTTCCTGAGCTTAAATTTATTCCTGTTTGGGTACACATTAAACTTTTGGTTTCAAATGTTGAAGAATGGTCTATTTATCTATTTAAATTGGTTCATTGGTTGTATACTAAAGTAGGAAAGTATGAGATTGAGCTTTGATTTCAAAAAGTTGAATTTTGATTAGGACTATGAATGCACGAGTATTAGTGCATGCAATTGAACTTCTCTTTTGAACTACAATACATAATAGCTTAGAGGGATTGGGTAATGGTCTCATTGGTTATTCCTTTGTGTTTTACCACTTTGGAGTTGGATTGAGATATGCTTCCCTACGCTCTTATATCCCATTTCCCCTGAATTTTGCAACTCTAGCTAAACATATGAGAACATGTCAAAATCTATAATTTAATACTCTGTATAAAATATTTTTTCTGTCACAAAACGGTCATAGGAAGTTGGCACTGCAGTGTTATACTCAAAATGCACATGGGTAAATAAGAAAATGTAGAATATTTAGCTATCATTAATATACTTTGTTTTCCGTGTAATTGTTATAGGGGGTGTTTGGATCTGATCCTCAAAACTGCTTCTGCTCCTTCAGGGAGCAGAAGCTGGAGTGTTTGGGTGAAAGTGCAGAAGTGATTCTGGTGCTCTAATTTACTCCTAGAATCAGTTTTTTAGAAGCTGAGTGTGACTAGCTTCTGAAAACTGATTATGATTCTGCTTCTACTTTAAAAAAGAAGCAGAATCAGAATCAGTTTCAAACACCCCCATAATATGCTTTTAAACGGGTTTAAACAATAACGTTGTAGGGGTATTTTAAGATGTATAAACATGAAAACGTAAGAGAGAGAGTATGAAAGAGCAAGTGCATTTATGTTATTTGTCAACATTTTATTTTCTAGAATGAGAGTTTGGAGCAAGCATAATACTTCCCTAAAAGTAAAGTGGAACAATTAGAGTGTTTAATGTTTCACTTAGATACAAAGCCATAAATACTCGTAGGTTCAAGAGCTGAAGAAGATGTGAGAATGGCTTCATTGGTTGATGAGATTAATTCATATTCCTATATGTACCCTACAGAGCTTCCTTCCAAAAGATTTGTCTTCAAATGGTAAGCACTCTCGTATTAGGCTGAATTTTATGTGTTTCCTAATCCTCTCAACCTTAGGAAGGATAGCATTACAATGCATGGCCATTTGATGTGTTATCTGATTTATTTATTATTCCCTTCGTCCCACAAGACTTGGCCGCCTTTTCTTATTTAGTTGTCCCAAAAGAACATTGTCATTTCCTTAAAGTAAAAACTTTGTGGTTAATATTATTTCTCTCTGCAAAAAAAACAACCCCACAATTTATATTTTATTAGTACACGTGCAAATCTACTTTTGCCAAATTTTATCGGGCAGACTACTGGCGGAGTAGCTTTTTTGGAGGTCATAAGAAAGTGCACCTTTTCCAAATTGTTTTTAATGTTTTGCACACAACTGTTTAAAGTGAAATCTGATATTACTGATTCTAAATATTTTGTTATTCTAATATGTTCTTGTCATCTTGCATTTTACTAAAGAGTTGAGTGCATGCTTCAAATGTCACTTCTACTTCATTTTGGAGTAAATAAATGAAGCAAAGTTATCTCCCATGCATGTTGCAGACTTGCTTCAAGATGAGGTTATGAAGTTGGAATGAGCCTTCATGAAGGAAGTAAATCTGTAACTAGAGAGACAGGCTTTTCCTTGACAGAGCCTCCTTTACAGTAACTCTCTTGAACAATAAAAGCGAAAGTAAAAATAAAAGATCGTACCTAGTGCACAAGACTCCTAACATAAGTAGGATCTGGGGAAGGTCCCGACGTACACATCATTGCCCTTATTTGCATGACGGGACTTTTTTGGTGGTTGAACCTCTGTCCAAACAGATATCGAGTAGAGATGGCTGAGATTGGTCCATCACGCCAATAACAATCCTTTTTTAGTGTAAGATGTAATGTAAATTGGTTGGAGATGAAAAAGTGATTTAAAAGTTAATTCGCTTCCTTTTGAAGCTATGCATTGGCAATAACCTAGTGGGAGCTAATTTAACCTATTGAATATCACCTATGTTGCACGGAAACATGGGAATCATGTGGAGATGTGATAAGGGAAACACCCTCTTTTAATAGAAAAAAAGTATTTAGAGAGGTTCCAAAGAATTCCTGTACAGTTTCCGAAACGGAAACTTTCTCTTTCTCGAGAGTTTCCGTGCTTCATAGAATATCACTTTCTGTCATCCTGTATCATGGGAAGGTTCTTGATACCTATTAGTTAGGCTCTTAGCTAACAGGTAGTATTAAACAATAACTGTGTTATTAAGAAAAAGATAAAGCTTCTATCTTTCATCTCTGCTCTTCCTAAGCCGTAAACTTCATCAGTTCCATCTGTGATATGACTATTAGGATTATTTTAATTTATTTTCATTTCACCTACTAATAAATAAACAATTACCTTATTATGTCCTTTGTATGATGCAAATGATTTATTTTCCTGTATCCTAAATCATTAAGTTCTACGATCCTCACTCTTCTCTTCTCTCTTTGAAGGGTTGAATCCAGAAAACCAGAGCGGTATTCATCAGCCCCGCCTCTGTCACGTTAGTTTCCCCTTGTTATTCTTCATGCACAGTGGCTACTGGCTAGATCTAAAAAAATCAAATGAAGGATTATTATACACTGTACTTTGGGTGAATTGATTTAAGCTCATCATGTTGCAACACATCCTTAGAGTAGTTAGTATATGATGCAGCTGATGCACGGCTTCGCATTGTGTCTGAAAGAGTTGATCTCATTGACAATCTCATTATTTCTGTTACGGTAATTCAAATTAAAAGAATGTATTTTACCATGTCATAAATTGTTCAGATAACTCAAAGTGAATATTTTCTGGTTCAGATTGGTCCACTGAATTCAAAGCTCCTAAAGTCAAAGGACAAAAGTTCCTGGAGTGCGAAAGACGTTGCTGAATCTGTTTTATCTGATAAGTCTGCTTTGGTAAGATGAATCTTTTCTAGATAGATTGACGGCCATATGTGTCTCTGTGTCTGTGTGTGTTTGTATGTGTAATATATATAAGTGTGTGTGTGTCTGTGCGTGCACACACAAATACACACATGTATTGTTATGCGCGCGCGTGTGTGTCAAGCTCAAGTTATTTTATGTGGTGCACATAATCTACATATTTTTTTGTTGATAAATCAGAAAATTTTATGTTATGTTTTTCTTCTTTCTTGAACCTAGACTGCACAAGTTCAAAGGCCAGAAGAGCCTTGTTTTTGTGCTAAATTTACATAAAACAAACACTAAAAGGTTCAGTAATATGTGGGACCCGTTAGAACTAGTAGCCCTTTCTTGATAAAGCAGTATGTGTAGTTCATGTCTTTCAAATTTGTGAATAGAAAAATAACAACATAAGTTTGTGAGTTAATAACTTAATGCACAGAACATTTTGTATTTTTCAAATAACATGTTGTGTAACCTTATCCTTCCCTGAACAAAGATACTCACCATAGTTTGCTTAACCTTTCAGAGTATATTTTGAAATTAATTCTAATAATTTTTATCAGAGGGTAACCTCAAGTCAACGGTTAGCGGAAAGCTCAGTCCTTGATGCACATTCTTCTCAAGTAAGTTTCATTTCTCTTTTCGTTTTTCTTGTCGTTTAAGTTGTGCCTGATGATGTATTACTATCGGTTTAAGTTAATACTTTGATTAATATTGCTTAGGAAAATTTGAAAATAATAATCCCAACTATCGCCGGTCCGCCGACAATAATCCCAACTATTGATTATTTTTGTATAATCCCAACTATATAGACCATCCGCCAATAATGGTCCATGATCAGATATTACCTCATATAATAAGTGAATTTTAATAGAAATTAAGCGTAAAAATTAAAAGTTGAGATTATTTATAGGGATTACCTGCTATATCTCTTCTCATCCACTTTAGAAACTACAAGAATTTATTTATAGGGACCGTTATTGGCGGAAGGTCCCTAAAGTTGGGATTATTATGAAATAATCGATAGTTGGGATTATTATAAGCGGACCGCCAATAGTTGGGATTATTACTATCAATTTTTCCTATTGCTTATGTGAATCTGTTTTATATCAGATTGATGGTGAACCGTATTGGTATTTTGAGTACATTGTTCGCAAATCACCAACAAAAACTGTGAGTTTCACTTATAGTTTAAACAAGATGGGACTAAACAATCAATAATGTGCAATTATAGCTATTATACTATGTAAGTAATGAATGATTCCAGGCTCTTGAATCAAATATTTTCCGCCACTATGCTGCTTCAACAACTGAACGAGATGGTAAGAATCTAGTGGCGCTTTATTTCCTAAGCTTATCATTATTATTCACTGTGAAATGATAAGTTTTAACGCAGGGAATTATTTCATGCATAGTGGTGCTTTAGAAGTTGTCTTTAAAGAAAGACGTTATCTAATATGTTTCGGGTAAATTGCACGTTTGGTCCCTCATTTATTCCACATAGTGGTTGTCCATATCTTTAATTTTGCAAACTCTGTTCCTACATTTTTAAGAGCAGGAGTTCAGGGCTACGTCTACAACATGTTGCAGAATTGAGGGACAACATTTCTAACATATTGCAAAATTAAGAACAACATTTTCACAAATTTAATTGTGCTTGCTCAATTTTTAATGACAGAGCCAACAAGGACTAAATTTACAATTTATTTCACGGTAAGGGTCAATATTTGCAATATCTGAAAGACAGGGACTATTGAATATGCGTGATAAATGAGGGACTAAAAGTGTGATTTTCCCTATATTTTCTAGTTTAACTTTTTATGTATGCATTCTGCATTTCAGGTTACCTGTATACTCTCAGTGCTTCAACACTTAGTAAGCAATGGAGCGAAGTAAGTACATTTTGTTCTTCAAGACAAGTAGCTTCAATGCATAATCCTGTGATATGAGCAAGGGAATCTTATATTCTTATTATTATTGCTATTACTATCATCATCACTATCACCATCATCGTCATTCCTATGTCTGCTTTAGACAGCTTCTTAATTAACATATATCTCCTTTTATAATTATTCCAATTCAGCTTTAGACAACTTCTTAATTAGCATTTATTTCCTTTTACAAGGGTCATGAGTAATTGAGTATTATTCAATAAACAATCTTTGAAGAATTAATTCTTGTATGTCTTTACAAGTCACAAGGTCGGACGCTGATCAATTCTAGCTTAGGCTTATTTTGTTATTCCTCTCTAATATTCTCTATTTCCTAGATCTGAAACGAGATCCCAACCAAGCTCGTAACATCCTGCTTTCTACATCAAACTTTGGGTGTTACGTATTTACAGATCCATTCTGAGAAATGCACACTCGTCTATTTACCAGTAGAATGCTAGAATGAAATGCATACGCAAATCATATTTAAAAGCATTCAGTCCATCCATTTAAGTGCCGCGGTCTAGTTCTATAAAGTATAAACTGTGGAAATAGAAAATGGATAGATTTGTTTTCCATCTTTTGAATTTGACATGAAATTGATTGCTGCAGATGGGACCATTCTTAGAAAAGAGTGTTGCTTCTTTTCGTCTTCTCCCTCCTTCACAAAGTTATGTTCCTCCATACAAAGATCCTTGGAGATTTTGGTGAAGGGATATCAGTTTTGTCTGGAACAAATATGACCTCCCAACTGCAGACACTCAACTGATGCACTGGAATGAAGAGGTGGAAGCTCTTACAGCGAATCTGAAGATCATACATGGCAGAACTTTTTAAGCTTGAAATGGAATTGAACAATGCTTTCGATGGACATGGAACAAATGCTACATCAATATGATCTTTTATATGTCATCTTTCTTGCTTAAGTAATCAGAGAATTAGATTATTGGTGATAGATTTAGCCAAGTCTTGACCAATTGCACCCAAATTTATTACAAATTGTCTGCGTTAGAATAAACCTTAGAATGATTCATACAAGGCAGGCTAAATAGTCGTACTTCTATGGTACTCCAAAGTAAATCAAAATGATTTATTGGCTATTGGTTCTTTTTGGCATAGTATTACAACAGTCTACCATCCTAAAGAGTATTCAGTGGTTGAGATCCTGCTATGAATTTGTTCTGCAGCTGGACCAATATTCAGTAACCAGTTTAGAGAAGGAAGAATTGATTGCCATTAGCTTTGAAGGCTCATCATATTCAACTAGCTTCCCTGCAAGAAGTTTGAAAGATAGAGCTTTCATTGTTTGTAGTTGCAAGCCTTATATGCTTTTAAGTGATTTTTTTTATTCTGATGCTTAGTTCCTGACTCAAATGGAAAGAAATCGCTATGTAAGTATATAACTTATGTATAAGAGAATGGGGAAAAGCTTACCAAAAGAGAGGAGGAGGACCTTGTGGCTGTCTATGACGGTGGGGACACGATGAGCAACAGTGATGACTGTGCAATTGCAGAATTCTTCTCTGATGATTTTCTGCAGAGTGTAATCAGTGGCAGAGTCTATGGAAGCTGTTGCCTCGTCCAGAACTAATATTCTGTTCCTTTTCAGAAGGACTCTTCCAAGGCAGAACAGTTGCCGTTGCCCCATGCTCCAGTTCTCTCCCTCATCACTCACTGTAAAAACCAAAACCAAAACCAAAGCAAACCAAATTGCAGGCGTATCACGTGTCAGTGCCTGAAATGCTCCCAACTAAATCTTGGTTCATGTCAATCTATTTATAAACACAGAACATTATACTTTTGGATCACCTGAGGAATCTAGCTGGTTTGGAAGTCTGCTAATGGTATCCTTTAGCTGGCACTTTTCCAGAGCCTGAAAATAAAATAATGCATTACATATAGTTTGAATTGATTTGACTGTTGGGACTTGGGATTGAACTACCGGGAATCAGACAACATTGTGTTTGGAATGATGGGATTTCACCAAAAGCTTGAAATCAATGCTGTCATCAATTTTCAATGGGTATCACTTTCAACTACCAAGAATTCCCTTATTCTATGGAATAATCCATATGAGGCAATGTGGTGATTGTTTTGACAATTTTACCTTCCAAATATCGTCATCAGGGTAAAGGCCTAAAGGGTCCAAATTTGTTCTGACACTTCCTCTGAAAAGAGTTGGCTCTTGTGGTATGATGCTGAGTTTTAGCCTCAAATCTTTAAGGCCTATGGAGCAAATGTCAAGACCATCAACAATTATTTTCCCACTGTAAGGCTCTACTAGGCGAAACAATGCACTAATCAGTGTTGTTTTCCCACTTCCTGTCCTCCCCACAACTCCTACTCTACTGCCTTCAGTGAAGGTGCATGTTATCCCTTTGAGGACAAATGGAGCATTTGAACGGTATCTTATCTGCATCCAAACAAGGTATTGTGCTAATCTCGTGTGTTTAGATTACTTCATAAAACATTTGAATTAGTTGAGATGGTGGCTTACCTTAAGGTCCAGGAATTCTATTCTACCCTTGGAAGGCCAAGAGGAGTTTGGCCTATTATTTTCCACCACAGCTGGTGGTTCTGGGTTTAAATGCATAAATTGTTTTATCCTTTCAGCTGAAATGACATAGTTAGCCAAGCTGCTATACCATCTGCTTAAAAACACTTGAGTGCTTGTTAGTACCAAAGCATACGAAAGAGAGAGCCCCACAAGACCTGAATTGGGAAAGAGGGCAAATCTTAGAAGACTAAAATCAAAATATATATGCAGTCATGAGAATGATCACGATTCATGAGATTTATGGTATGGCTGGTCAGGCTGGATCATGAAAATGCCAGAAAAAAGAAGAATGATAAGGAAAAATAGTTTAAGTTGTACAGTAGACATAAATAAAAGTAACTTATATTCAAAATAATAGTAAATGAAAATGTTACTCTAATAACTTTAGTGACTATAATTGTATCACATGTTACATCGTAGTGACTATAAAACTTACTCATAGTAACTTATAATCACATTTTGTCCATAGATTTTTATTAGTAATATTTTAGGAAAAACCTCTAAATAAAATTCATCATCATCATCATTACCCCAGTGCCACAAAGGCTCCCACCTACGGTGGGGTAAGGTACGCAATCTGACCCCTGCACTAAAGCACAAAGAGATTGTTTTCGGATGACCCATAGTGAAAATCGCGTCGAAAATTGTATGGACCGACTACTGCTTCATAACAAAGAAGCGTAGACAGTGTAGTGAGCCATTTTGCTTTATTCCATCATATTCTTTGTTTATAGCATCTTGATGATTTTGCCTCACATTGTCTTTCCTTCCAATTTTATTTTATTTTCTCTCATATAATCCATCTCTAGTATTTTTCGGTTTCGGAATTGAAACGGGCCCTTACAAAGTTACAATAGTACCTGAAGGGAGAAAACTCGATGGAAGTGCGATTAGGAGGAAAGCAGCAATGAAAAGTGTGAGATTTTGTAGTGTTTCCGTTCTCAAAACTAGCCACTCCATGGCTCCATTTGAGTGGAAAAAAACTTTTGCATCTGCATCAACTAGTCCCAAGTAGTTGTGAAAAAACCTGTCTCCCATATCAAAAGCCCTTATTGTGGCAACTCCAAGAGATGTCTCAGTTGCATAACTCGTTAATGGAGCCTTTGTTGTCCCGTTGATCCGCATCAGTTCTCTCGCAGAAGGTTGATAGTATTCCTTCATCCAAACAAGCACATTGTTACAAATGACACCATTTTCATAAGCTCGGAGAGATTATATTTTAAGACATGAGCTGTGTTTGATTAATGGAGAAATGCTTAGGTGATAAAACAAAGAAGAGAAGTTGGTGAGCAGCAGAAAGAAATAAAAGTTGTTTGGTTGAAGACAAACCGAGATGCAAGAATTGTAGATTCAAAGAAATTACTTGCAAATAAGAGTAAAACATGTGACGTGTTCACACACAGGAATATCATTGTTTTGTGCTAAAAATAGAACTCATTTAGCCCTTGAAAATAAGAGTTATATACAATTCTTCTTTGGAGTAAATGAATCATGTTTTGGAGAATAGTGAGTCACGTTTTGGAGAATAGTGAGTCATGTTTTAGTCCTATTTCCAGAGTTCTCTTGAATTAAAGTGGTTTTCTATATATTCAAACTAAAAGGCTATCTATAATAAGATCACTTATTATCCTAACATCTTATAGCCCTTTAGCCACTTTACTCTCTGTTATCAGACCCAAATCAGCCATGCCGGATTTCCGGGTCAACCCGGAACCCGGCAACCCGCTTGAAAATACCGGGCCGGTTACAACTAACCCGCTAATCTCTCAAAAATCACCTTAACCTGTATACCCGCTGTCAACGCTCCCCAAAATCTGGCACAGGAACTGGTGCGGACCCGCTAATCCGCCCAATTGGTATTTAAAAAACTGTCGAAGGGGGGATTTGGACCCTCGCCTAGCCTGAACAAGCGCCAGTGCAAACAAACTCTACCATTTAGGCATGCTTGTACTAAGTTCTTTTCACATTATTATACCTTGATTTTATAACATCTTTAGGTTTAAACTTTTATTGTTAATTATTCATTAATAATAATCATGATAATAACTCCTACTGTTACTACTTACTATTGTTATACTGTAAATTTATGTGTTCAAAATTCCAAATATAATGAAAAATACTTGTACAATTTTTTTAAAGATTTTGTACTAAAGTTATATCTATGTCTATTGTCTATCTAATTTTCAAATACCTGTTTAATTTTGATAAAAAATTGTACTACCTCCGTCCCACTAAGATTGAGATAAGAGGGAGTGATGTGGTTATTAAGAAAAGTGAGATTGTGTGGTTGATATTGAATTGATAAAGTGTGAATAAAGTAAGAATGAATTGTAATCACCCAAATATTACCAAATATGGTATGAGACAAACTTAGTGAGATGGATGGAAGAGGTAAAGTGGGTCAAACCGTCAAAGATAGGGGGCGGAGGGAGTGTATTTTAGATTTTTTTTTTTTTTTATTATTATTATTATTATTATTATTATTATTATTATTATTATTATTATTATTATTATTATTATTATTATTATTATTATTATTATTATTATTATTATTATTATTATTATTATTATTATTATTATTATTATTATTATTATTATTATTATTATTATTATTATTATTATTATTATTATTATTATTATTATTATGTATTGTCCATATTAAATCATAAATAAGAATATTTTTTCACTTTACGACTTTAATCTGATTTATAATTATAGATATTTTGTATTTTATTTCATAACAAATAATGATCGAGCTTATCATGTGTTGACTGGGCTGACCCTCCGGGTTTGGATTGATCCTGACTCGGTCACTTGTTGAGGTTGCTTTCCGGTCCGGTTTTAACAACATAGACTTTACTATTTACTTCTTCCCGCTTAAGCATGGATGTTATTTCCACTCTTTTTCCTTCATTTCTCCCACAGTCCTACCAAATAAATGAGTTGTCTCAAAAGTTTGTTTTTCTCTTCTCTTTTCACGCATACATTCTATTCCCACTTTTCCACACACCTGTTTGGTGTTGTATACTGATATGTCACAACATGGTAGGATGAGTACTCCAAGGTATTATATGTTTGTATTTTTTTACTCAGCCCAACCTAAAATTACTTGGAGTTGGGCCTTAGGCCTCAAATTGTGGCAACTTTGTTAAGAGATGATATCTGACCTGGACATATTTGGAGGCAATGGTGGTAATGATGCCTACAATGAGTACTTGCCATGTGACGGAGGCCATAATACCAATTGTTGCAATTAATTCTATCCCAGCAGCCGTCAAATAATTATAAGCGAAAGGGATGTC